TATATATATATATATGCATATAGAACTATATTTTTTTCTATGATATATTACATTCATGTCGCGTAATACACATTTCCTCAGCACATTTTTCTTACGTAATGCATATTTACAGACAATTTTTTTTCTCTTGCTTCATACACATTTTCTTAATCGATAATATAAATTTCCACATTATTCCACCCCGATATATATATATTACATTAATCAATATGCTGTGCTCATTGCTGCGATTAATTTTTTTTTAAGGGTATTGGTTTTTAACTCAGGCAGGCTTCACTTTTTCGATTGCCAATACGTCAACGACTCTTTACAAAGCAACACGTGCAGATTTATATTATTATAGAGTTACGGTTTTTACATCTAAGTTTCCTGGCCATAGAAACTCACGCCTCATGTCTCATGCCTCATGCCGCATGTCTCATGCCTCATGTCTCATGTCTCACGAGAGCATTTTTTCCCCAGAGAACCCAGAGGAGAATTTCACCGGACATTCCAGCGTCTCGAGGACAATCCTGATGAAGAACTCTTTTACAGTCAGCATCTTGGAAAGGCTTTCTCAAACTTGTGCCATTTGATCTTTGTCGTTGTAGTCAAGATCACGAGAGTCCCAGAGTTGTCTTCAGACCATTCCCAAAAAGGGGGAGGGGGTATTACCATGTTCTTATCCACAGTAGAATTGTAAATGGGCTCATTTATCAATGCCATGCTCATACGGTGCCGGAACAACATAGGGAAAATTGCTGATTTTTTTTGGCCATCCTTACTATTGTCATTTTTCCTTTCTTTTGTAAGTTTGTCTCTTGTGAATTAATATTTCCAGGGTGCCTTGATAGTCGAAGCAGACTTAGTGCTGTTGAGGCTAGAGAGGGGAAGAGAGTAAGCCTGATTCCCCCGTTTGGACTTCCCTGTTGACACCCAACCCTTGGCGCTCATATGATATCTTATGCATTTGTGAGCGCCGTAAAACCTTGCTAAAACTAAAGAAAAAAAAGTACTCCTTATATAAAATTATGCAATTTTGATACTGCCGTCGTCTCATGCCTCTATAGATCCCTGGCTAAAGTAAACAGGGCTAGTGGCAGATAGCGTTTACCAATCAATGGTGGACACCGTGACGTCACTGGGCACACCTGTGACCAATAGGCAAGGCATTGTGGTGAAATCAGGCGTTTGTCAAAATAATGAAATTGAAAAAAAAGGCATTTCTCTTCCCGTTTGGCAATTTTTATCGAAGTATTATTTTTTGGCTCAACACCTTTCATGTCTATTTAAAAGTACATTACTGTGTGGATTTTACTGGAAAAACAATGATTAAAGCTTTAAAAAATGTACATTTACAGTTTCCGAGGACTCTAAAGCTTTGGAAGTCTCCAAACTTTGGCAGCCATTTTATCGTTAATTTAAACCTGAAACTAGGTGACCCCCACCTTCAATCGGACATATCTCGACTTCTATAGAAGTTAGATCGATAATTTTTCCACGAAAGCAAGACAAATGAACAAACTTTAAGACGATACTAATAACTCTATTTGCCCCAAAATTGACGAGCACCTGTTTCCACCTCGTCGTGACACTTATTATGTGTGTTACTATATTGAAAGTTACTCTTCAGTAACGTAAAGTTGTTCCCGCATCCGATCCGGACATTGGGGGATGGCCTTGTTAGTGAGACAACTTCCTGGGCCTTCGGCATAATATTGTGGTAGGGTGGCCAATTTCTTTCCACGCCGCCTTTACTTCCCCAACTCGAAGTCAGGTATTCATTATTCCTGGGTGGGCAGGAGGGGGCGAACAAAATCCGTGTCTGAACCGATGCTCAAACCCGGACTTTTTGCTATGTTTGGAGACTTCCAAAGCTTTAGAGTCCTCGGAAACTGTAAATGTACATTTTTTAAAGCTTTAATCATTGTTTTTCCAGTAAAATCCACACAGTAATGCCGAACAAAATCAAAAGGGAGCTATTGATGATAACTACTGCACTTCATGTTTCACAGGGAAAGCGTGTGTACGTGTGTGTGTGTGTGTGTGTATGTGTGTGTGTATGTGTGTGTGTGTGTGTGTGTGTGTGTGTGTGTGTGTGTGCGTGTGTGTGTGTGTGTGTGTGTGTGTACGTGGCGAAACACCAAACCAATGTGCCATAATTTGGACAATAAAGATGTGCCTTATCTAAAGAAAAATAAGCTAGGAACGAAACTGCTTTTCAAGCAGCGTTCAAAATTTATTTCTACTAAAAAAAAAGAAAAAAAGAATGAAAAAAAAAGCTGCCCTGCTCAGTGGAAATGTTTAGATTACCCCCCCCCCAAAAAAAAAAAACACCAAAAAAATCAGAGTAAAAACACAATAAGCAGATAAACATAAAAATCTAAATTATATATTACTCTCATTAAAGTTCAATATTATGAAAGGAAAAGTAAAGCTAACAGAAAGTACTTATTATCGGTATCACATCAGATGCCTCATTCAACCACATGCAGGGATTTAATTACAAGACTTTATTAAGAGTTATAAGATACATACTCGAAAGATCAATACACACTGACGCTTATTCTGATAATAGCCTTATACTAGATGGTAAAAAAATCAACTTCTTTTATATATTTCTTTCTTTGTTTTTAGAGGTTCATATCTGCCGCTGCGCGATCGTAAAATGTTGCGTGGAAAGGGGGTGTGATGGGTCGTTTATAATGCTTTTTATTTTATTTTTTTACTTGTGGTCTTAAACATTTTTAATCAATTCTGAGTACGACGGAAATGCGACATAATATCAAATTATGTCAACGGGACTCCAACCCACATCTTCTGTAATACGACGGTGAAGACACAAATCTAAAACTCAATACGAAGGTGACTCTGTACTTCCGTGCATGCAAGACAGTCTTCAAATCGATTAAAATATAAAACAAACTTTCCCTTTCAGAATCACAGTAAAACTGAACAGAAACGAAAATGCCATGTCATATCTGATATTTACATATCTATAGCATAATGCAAAAATAATTTGCTTCAACATTCATATTAATTAAAGACAAAGGCTTAGGTTAATATTTTTGTAAACCATCTAGTATAAGGCTATTGTCAGAATAAGCGTTCAATGTGCATTGCTCTTTCGAGTATGTATCTATATAAGTCAACTGAAACTCTGAACAGAAACGAAAAAGCCATGTCATACCTGATATCTATATAAGCTTACCTATAGCATAATACAAAAATTGTCTACTTCTACATTCATATTAATTAAAGACAAAGGCTTAGGTTTTTAAAAAATTCACCATTCTGATAGGTAAACATAAACATGGGCAAATGTATAATTTGGATGAAATATAATATTGCCCTCAGTGATTCATATATTACATTATTCATATATCTCTGTGTGTGTGCATGTGTGTGTGTGTGTGTGTGTGTGTGTGTGTGTGTGTGTGTGTGTGTGTGTGTGTGTGTGTGTGTGTATGTGTGTGTGTGTGTGTGCGTGCATGCGCGCACGTGTGCACACGTGTGCTTGCTTTCGTGTGCCATGTAAAATACATGTATTTCATGATATAGGTTCATGTACGGTATTGCAACTGATTACATTAGTTCTGTCTCCCTACGCTTCAGGGAACCTACCATTAAAGTCACAAAAAGCCTTTGTTTGAAATCACCTACATAAACGAAAAATAAAAGACTTTACTTTATATCATTCCAAACTATCTTTTGACCCAATTAAAAAAACAACAACAGACAAGCAAACAACTGCTGTACTTACTTGTTTCCGAAAAAGTGAAACAGATCAACACAAGTTATTTTCCAAGACAAGAAGTAATAAAAAAGACTTCATTATCATTCCAAACTCAATCTTTTGACACAGTAAATAAAAGAATACCCACAGTTGCGCTTACTTGTGTCCGAGAAAGTTAAAGAACAAGACACAAGTTATTTTCCCAGACAAGAAGCACTCTGCACGCGTGTGAGTATATCGCTACATTGCCCGCGAATGTGTTCTGCAAAAACTCCACCCTTCACCCTTCATTGATTTCATGCAACAAAGAAGATTTATGCGCTGAGTAGATCGCTACTCAAAGATGTCGATCAAATAACCAAATGTGAAGTGTGCTGACAAAAGGAGTTGTTTCACGTATTCGAGCTTTAAGGTGATGTTTATTTTTTTTTTACAGTTTATAAGTATGAAAATAACAAAAGGCATGCTAGATTTTAAGAATACAGCATACGGCATCAATGGAAAATCGAAAAATTTGACCCTAAAGTTGATTTTTGCACAATAAATTAGCTAATTTAAATGTCGTTAGCACGCATCACAAATTAAAACAACATTTTGTTACTATGAACTATGAAATCTTCGTTCTTTTTTAAAACGACCATGGAATAGATTTTTTTATTTTTGATCTATGCTCACGATGACAAAACTAGGGAACTCGCCTCTGTGGTGCAGTGGTTACATAATTATGCTCTGCTGTTGCACGCAGAATACATGAGATCGAATCCTTTTTTTTTTTTTGGAAAATGTTTTACGGTGCTCACAACTGCATAAGGTCATATGAGCACATATATAAGGACACACTAAACATTTTCAGTTGGTAGGAAATTTTGAATTTTACCCGGGTTGAGGCCGAAGCCTACTGTTATCTATTTTGAACCACCAAGGTATCTTTAACGTGCACAATTTGCACAAGGGACCACCAAGATTTTTCGCCATTGTCCGGGAAAGCTAGGGGTAGATCTTACCTACCATAAGATTAGGGCTGTGGCTGAAAGACAGCAGCAAGAAGGAGCCAAGGAGTAGCAGTAGAAAGGCTGCAGAAAGAATCAGGAGCCCAGATGAGGGGGGCAAAGGACGTGAAGGGGTGGGGGCAGAAAGTGGAGACAAAGGCAAACGACAAAACTTCGTTGGAGAGCAGGAAAGGATGTGAAAGGAGACAATTTTAGAAAAGAAAATTTTCCGTTGGTATCCGGATTAGAACCCGGGACCTTTTGAATGAGAGGCGAACACCTTAACCTGTAGGCCACGAGAGCCCCCAGTTCGATTCTTGTGTAGGGAGAAGCTTTAATCTGATATCACGGTCTTTCTGCTCGGAGGTTGTATCCTTCTCAGGCCAGATTGCAACTGATTGGCGGGGCCAAAGCCTGCCTACCAAACAATGCAAAATGCGACCATTTTATTATTATTTTTTGGTTAGTGTTTTACGGCGCTCACAACTGCATAAGATCAAATGAGCGTGCAGGACGCACCAAACATTTTCAGTGGGTAGAAATTTTTAATTTTGCCCTGGTGGCGACTGAAGCCCACTCTTATCGATTTTCAATCACCAAAATTGAAATGTGCGCTACTTGAAAACAGGACCTCCGAGATTTTTTGCCCTTTTCCGAGAACGCTAGGTGTAGATCTTACTTATCATAAGATTAGGGGTGTTGGTGAAAGACAATAGTAAGAAGGTGCCAAGGAGTAGCAGTAGAAAGGCTGCAAAAAGAGTCAGAAGCCCAGAGGAGGGGGCAAATAGAGACTGCCAGTCTAAAGGTCGATGGACTTAGTCCTGAAGAAACGAGGTTTTAGTCCCTGAAAATACCGTTATTACTCTTTAGAATGTCACACCGAAATTAAAAGCCGCATTTGCCAAGTAAAAACAACCTTCCACAAAATGAAACTGATACTTACAAACATCAAGCTGGAAACAAGAAAAAGAGTACTGAAAAGTTTCATAGAGCCAGTGACCAGTCCTATTATACGGGTGCCAAACATGGTCAATCAATAGATAGCTGGAAAGGAAAACTGAGGAGACAGAGTTGTGGTTCATAAGACGCATGCTGCGTATCCAATGGACAGCTAAGAAACAAAATTTAATGAAGAAGCCTTTGTTGAAGCAAATTGCAGACGACAGCATAGATCTGTGACGAATATCATAAAAATAGCGACAGGCAAAGTTCATTGGACACACAATGCGGAAAGAAGCATTGGAGCATATTGTAACAACAGGCAAGTTTGATGGAAAGAGAGATAGAAGCAGACAAAGGGAAAAGATACTGAACCAGTTGACCACATGACTGGGAACAGCAAGAACGACAGACACCATCGCTACAACACAAGAAAGAGTGAAGTGGAGGTCCATGATCGCCCACGCAAGTCGGCAAGGCACCGGAGGATGATGATGACGATGTCTCTTCGAGATTGCGTCATCGAATGTTGGCCTGTCAATCCAGTGTTTACTTTCTGTAAACTCTGTCCTATAAAAGTCCTTGCACGACTCTGAGTGAAGGTATGATCCGCTATATTATTAGTCCACCTAGTTTATTCATTGAAAAAAAAGTTTTTCATATATATATCATATAATAATATATATGCAACTTAAAATAGTTACATACCTTTATGAGAAAACTGCGTATTATTGAAATTAGTTGTAAAACCGCTATGAACATTATCCACTCCCTACAAGTGCACGGCCGCAACGTCATCTCAGAACATCTTCGCGCCAAACTGTATGTTCGAGACAACTTTGACTAGTTTTCCACCTATAAATAGATTGATAATGTCCCCTATCATCCATCTTATCATTATATTGTCGAAGAGAGAGTCAGTATAAAGACCGAGGCTCGCAACAATCTTCGAGGAGGAAGGCTTACTTATTGACCAGCAAGACAATTTCGCTGATAAATTCTTTTCTCCTCTCAAACTGACCCGGAACTTTCATTGTTCATGTAGCTTGCGGAGCGGTGGAACAGACTGAGATAACGCCACACGCTCGTGAGTCTATTTTGGTTTTTACATTTTTGCTATTTTTAGGTCGTTATTGACATTCTAATGTAATGTCTAACAGGACGTGTCGTTCATATCGCACCGCAAGTGTGGTGGCATTGGTAGTCTTGGGGTTAGGCTACCGTAGTCTGACTCGAAATGGTGAGATTGTGGGTTAAACTGTCCCCGGGGGTTTTATGCACCCCTCATAATTTAGCGAAATTTGATTTTTTTTCTCACAATTTCTGATTATTTTCCTTTATTGTTCTATTAAAATTAACAGAATCGCATAATTTCACAGTTTTGGGCTCAGTTTGCGTAATTTCATGATTTTTTTTTTCATAAAGCCGTGGGGACAGGTTCAGGGTAAGAAGGGCTTTGTGGCTCAACTCGGGACGGACTGCGTTGTGTCTTTAGGAAGGACACTTTACCTTACACGAAGTTTCCCATTTTATCTTGTCCTTTCGGAGATAGGCAAAGGAGCTCTCGTGGCCTGGAGGTTAAGGTGTTCGCCTCTCATTAAATAGGTCCCGTGTTCGAATCTGGTTTGTGGAGAAAAACAATTCTGAAATGATGAAAACTGAGCCCAAAATTTTTTTGATAAATTATGCGGGGTGCATAAAACCCCTGGGACAGAGATAGCGACGGCTCCTTTCACCTCTTTCCTGCTCTCTAGGAAAGTTCTGTCGTCTGCTTTCGTCTCCACTTTCTGCCCCAACCCCCTCAACTCATTTGCCCCCTCCTCTGGGCTCCTGCCTCTTTCTGCAAGCTTTTCTACTGCTTTTCCTTGGCTCCTTCTTACTGCTGTCTTTCAGCCACGCCCCTTATCTTATGATAGGAAAGATCTACACCAAGCCTTCTCGGACAAGGGCGAAAACAGAATTGTTCTACGCATCCCACTCTCACACTCAGTGGCACCTGGTGTTCTATAAGTCCACTCTTGCAACCAGTAGCTGGATGACGTTCGGGTGCCACCTGTTGCCTTTGGCCTCCTTGGTCCCATCCTCCTCCGCTAACCAATTATCAAGACTGTTGTTATTTCATTTCATTGTATACATATTTTTCTTTCTTTCTCTGTCACGAAAACCCCCATTTTAAGTTCCCTTTTGAGCGCCACTAAATTGCATCGGGCATACACATGTATTTATACAAAGCCGCTAATATTATACTTATATTTTACTCACCGGAGTTTTCTACTCGACTGTCCGTGTAGGACAGTCGGGTAAGGTGGTGTTTTTCGTGTGAGCACTTCGCAGGTCCGTGCGAAGTCATGATCATGTCAGCTGCTGTGTTGTGAGTTAATTGAGTGTTCGGAGAGTCACTACATGGCCCCCCTCCAGCGCTGACATGACAGGAGGTTCTAGAATCGGGGAGGTGGTCTCACGATACGTCCTGAACGTGAGACCTTCCAGCCTGCTTGTTGTGGTTCCTGAAGAGTAACAGGAGCGGATTGTACAGCTTGGGTAGGCTGGGTTGAATTGTTAGTATTTGCGCTTGGATTCACAAGCGATGAAGACGGAGGTCGCCCACGTCTTGGTGCTTGAGCAACACATTCAAAAGCTGGTTTGAATCGGTCGACAAAGATGTGTTCCGCGTGACTACTTAGATCGACAAGAAAGGTTTTATCATGCCTTTCTAAAACCTTGTACGGACCAGTACACGGGCGCTGTAGGGTTTTTTGATGAGCGTCGCAGCGGATGAACACGAACTTTGCTGTGTCTAGTGACGAGTGGATGTTGGAGGTAGGTGCACAGTGCAGTGATGTCGCCTTGGCTAGTTGTGACTGCATTTGGGATCAAATGTGAAGTGTCACGGGTAAAAAATTCGCCCGGTACTCTGAGTGGTTCTCCATAAACTAGCTCAGCGCAAGAAGTTCCCAGGTCCTCTTTTGGGGCAGTCCTCAAACCTAGCAGTACCCATTCCAGTTCATCGAGCCAGTTCGGGCTTTGGAGTCTTGCTTTGAGAGCACTCTTAAGACCGGACCGGTGCAATCGCTCAATCAGTCCATTGGATTGAGGGTGATAGGCTGTTGTATGATGAAGATTGGTATCAAGGCGCTCGGCCATCTCTCTCCACAAGGCAGAAGTAAACTGAGGGCATCTGTCGAATGTGATGTCGATGGGGATCCCAAAACAAGCGATCCAGTTATTGATTAGCGCACGGCCACATTCTGTTGTCGAGGTGTCCTTGAGTGGGATAGCCTCTGGCTATCGTGACGTTCTGTCGATGATTGTGAAGAGGTGAATGAAGCCCTGCGATGGGGTTAAAGGACCTACAAAATCGACATGAACGTGACTGAACCTCTTTTCAGGCACTGAAATCTTCTCGATGGGTGCCTTAGTATGCTTTTGCACTTAGGAAGCTTGGCAGTCCGTACATTCCTTGGCCCACTTGCTGACTTCCTTCCTTAGCCCATGCCAAACAAATCTCTGGGAAATCAGGCGGACTGTAGCCTTCCTTCCTGGGTGGGAGAGGCTATAAAACAAATCGAAGACCTGTCGACGAAATGCTGGAGGTAAAATTGGTCTAGGATGTCCGGTCGAAATGTCACACAGCAGTTCTGGTCCTCCAGATTCGATAGCCATTGAAACTGTGCGCAATCCTGGGGAAGAGGCGCTGTCGTCTGGAGAAGAGGTGTCAGTGCATTGGGCTTCAGCCATTGCTTTGTAGTCCATTCCTAATGTGGTCTGGAAAATGGTTCGGGGCAAACAGTCTGCAACATGGTTCTCCTTCCCTGAAATGTGCCGTATGTCCGTGGTAAATTCTGAGATGAATGACAGGTGACGTTGCTTGCGAGCTGACCAGGGTGGGGATAACTTGGACATAGCGTCCACCAGAGGTTTATGATCGGTGAACGCTGTGGAGCACCTACCCTCAAGCAAAAATCGGAAGTGACGGGCGGCAAGATAGAGTCCTAATAACTCCCGATCATATGTGCTGTACCGTTGTTCTGTCTCTCGAAGTTGTCTGCTGAAAAATGCTAAAGGTTGCCAGGCCTCATCGACATATTGTTCGAAGACAGCGCCAACTGCGTGATCTGACTCATCGGTGGTTAAGGCGATAGGAACGTTTGTTCTGGGATGCAAGAGGAGAGTGCAGTCGGCAAGCAAACGTTTGCTGGCCTGGAACGCTGTAGTCATCTGTTCCGTCCAGCAAAGTTTTGTTTTCCTTTTTTCTCCTTTCAGAGCTTCGTAGAGAGGGCGTAGTACTGATGCAGCTAGAGGCAGAAAGCAATGGTAGAAGTTTAGCATTCCCAGAAATTCTTGGAGTGCTTTGTAAGTGGCTAGCTGTGGGAATTCTTCCGTAGCTTTGACTTTGGAAGGGAGTGGGGTAGATCCATCTAGTGTGACTCGATGGCCTAGAAATTGGATTTCGGTCACTCCAAACACGTATTTTTCTAACCTAACAACTAGGCCCGCTTCTCTGAGTCTTTCGCAAACTTGTCGTACTACGTAGATCTTTAATATGTTGAGCTGCTGGTGAACTGGCAATGAGTATATCACCTAGATAGATGAATGCGCACGAAATGTCAGGCAGGACGGAGTCCATAAGACGCTGGAATGTCTGTTTCTAAGGCCGAATGGCATGCGTAGAAATTCGTATAGGCGAATGGTGTGATGACGGCAGTTTTCGGAATGTCCTCCTGCGCAACTGGGATTTGGTGGTAACCTCGAACGAGGTATATTTTGGAGAAAATACTTTTGCCAGCGAGTCGTGCTGAGAAGTCTTGAATTTGGGGAATCGGATAACGATCTGGGGTCGTTCTATTGTTGAGTCCACGGTAGTCGCCACAAGGTCGCCAGTCTCCATTACCTTTCGGAACCATGTGAAGAGGTGAAGACCAGGGACTGCTAGATCGTCTAATAATTCCCATTTCCTCCATTTTCTGGAATTCAGCTTTGGCAATGGTTAGTTTGTCTGGGGGTAGTCCACGTGCTTTGGTCGGTGGCGTCGGTTAGGCTCTCGGACTCGCAACCGTAAGGTCGTGGGTTCAAATCCCGTCAAGGGCCCGACGTTGTGTCCCTGGGAAAGGCACTTTACACGAATTTTCCTCACTTCACCCAGGTGGGAATGGGTACCCGGCTATAGACAGCGAAAGATCTTGTCAGTTTGTTAGTGTTTGAGCGCTTAATCGGCTGCTTGCACTGTATGCTTCCCGGGAAGCTGAGAATGTTTCGGAGTGTTCTATGGTCTGCTGGGGTAATAATTTAGTGTAAAGCGCATAGAGCCTGCTGCTGAGCGGGGATATGCGCTATACAAATGCTACCTATTATTATTATTTATTATTATGTACGGGTGGACCAGTGGTGGGGAGGAAATGAGAAACATCGTGCTTCACTTCGGAGGCCGAAAAGGTTGGCTCGAGGATTTCAGGAAACTCTGTTAATATCTTCCTAAATTTGTTGCTTTCTGGGTCCACTATGGCTAGCTGAGATATCTGAAATCTGACTGATAGTACATGGGTATACTTTGAAAGATTGTGCCTCTATCAGTTTCTGATCACGAATGTCTTCCAGTAGGTTGTGGCGGCGAAGAAAGTCAGCACCAAGTAGGGCCCGCTTTACATCGGCGATGACAAGCCTGGCGTCGAAAGCATTGTTTTGGAAACGAATGGTGGTGTTGAGCGCACCATATGTATTGATTTTGCTACCATTTGCGGCTAAAAGTGGAGAGCCTGAAGTGTTCGCCTGTTTGTCCCGCCATGTTGCAGGAAGAACCGAAACTTGGGCTCCCGTATCGATGATGTAACAGCGGCCAAAGACAGAGTCCCTGATAATCAATTGAGCTTTTTGTGAGTCAACAGAAGGTTCTGAAGCCAGACTGAATTCTGCTGATCCACCTACTCTTTTCCCTGAACGCAGCAGGTGCTTTTTTGGAGGCTTTGTAACTGCTTGGCGGAAGGCATTTTTGGGCGTTTGATCCAAATCTATGGTGGTAAAAGCATAGACCTGTCGAGTGGCAAGGTCTGAGCTTGCTAGCAGCCGTTGTGCGATCTACGGTCAGTAGTGTCGCGGGTGGAGCAACGGCAAGGAATAATTTGTCGGCCTCTTGTGCTAACGTGCGGCAGTCGAGATGGTCGAATGTTGCCAGGGGGGCTCTCACGTATTCAGGCAACTGTTGTTGGAATAAGTGTGTGAAAAGGAAGCACGGTTCGTGCGCTCCCAGTAAGCCTAACATAGAGTCCATTAACTCTGACGACTTACGGTCTCCTAACTCCTGTAATTTAAAGAGCGCTGATGTTCTTTCCGGATCAGACAAACTATGTGACGACAACAAAAATGTTTTCAGAGTGCTGTATTTGTTGACTTCTGGTGGGTTGGTTAAAATTGAAAGTGCCCGAGTTGCTGTGCCGTTGTCGAGAGCGGCGACAACATGGTAGTATTTCGTTTCGTCTTGGGTTATATTTCGCAGAGCGAATTGCGCTTCAGTTTGGGCGAACCAAGCTTCCGGCCCAGCTGTCCAAAATGTTGGTAGTTTAATAGAAACTGCACTTACTTTATAATCCTGTTCACACATTTTGAAAGGCTGGTAAGGGTTGTGACGAGAACGCAAGTCCGTTCAAATATAATTCAAAATATAATCCAAGACAAGAACACACAAAGTTGAAATTGCGTTTCAACTTGTCGGGGTCCCCAATGTGGAAGGTCTTTACTCACTGGAGTTTCTACTCGACTGCCCGTGTAGGACAGTCGGGTCAGGTGGTGTTTTTCGTGTGAGCACTTCGCAAGTCCGTGCGAAGTCATGATCATGTCAGCTGCTGTGTTGTGAGTTAATTGAGTGTTCGGAGAGTCACTACATTTACTTATTTTCTGGTTCTTCTGAGACAAACTTGCCCGAGTACTTTCAGCTACACAATGTACCCCCTCCAACACCAAGCCTGGTAGAGCAGTCTACTACTTGAACTAATTTCAGTGAACTCTCAAACAGATAAACATGGACGAGGCGTCGAGGTCAGGATTCTGTTTGACCACAGATACCTCATAATCGATACCAAACTAAGAAACCTGCGTAATTTACCGTACAAAGGAAGGGCGGCTTATTGAGTAATCCTTTGCATTACAGGATAAAACTTGCGCAATTTTCCGCCCCCCAAACCGTGGGAAAGTTGTGCATGTTAAAGATCCCTTAGTGGTCCTAAAATCGACAAGAGTAGGCTTTGGCCACCACCTGAGCAAAATTCAAAATTGATTCCTACCAAACCGAAATTAATGCTTTATTTGTAATTGTTACTCTCTTGTAACATCTTAATCTTCAGCCCTTAGACGACTTCTAAATGTGCTGTAAGTGCCATAAAAATCTTTACTGAAATTCTTTTTAAAAAAGAAAAAAGTTCCCACTCATTCGGATTTGAACCAGACACACCCAATGCACGTTGAAACCTGGTATGTTTTGAAAGAAGCCAATGTTCTTGTCTCTTGTATGAACTACTAGCTCTCTCTCTCTCTCTCTCTCTGTCTCTCTCTCTCTGTCTCTCTCTCTAGTCTATGTGTGTGTCTGTGTATGCGTCTCTCTCTCTGTCTCTCTCTCTCACTCTCTGTCTGTCTCTGTCTGTATCTCTGTCTCTCTGTCTCTTTCTCTGTCTCTCTCTGTCTCTCTCTCTCTCGAGAGAATTATAGCCATCACGTTCAAAATGTATCATTGTGTGAATAGAAGGCCCATACAACGTTATGTAAAAGCGAAGGTATTGTAAAGCGCTTAGCGAGCGGTAGTATGATTATACAATGGAGCGAGCGCTACAGAAATTGTCAAATTAATTGTCTGTTTTATTACAATAAAAAATCCGTGAGGTTATGCTAATGGAGTCGGATTACTTCGATTTCCTTACTTGTTAACCACGGATATATGGGGACGGGTGGGGGGCTCTCGTGGCCTAGAGGTTAAGGTGCTGGCCTCTCATTCAAAAGATCCCGAGTTCGAATCCGGGTAGCGACCGGAACATTTTCTTCTCTAAATTTGTCTCCTTTCACCTCATTTCCTGCTCTCTTGCAATGTTCTGTCGTCTGCTTTCGTCTCCTCTTTCTGTCCCCACCCCCTTTGCCCCTTTCTCTGGGCTCCTGATTCTTTCTGCAGCCTTTCTACTGCTACTCATTCGCTTCTTCTCTCTAACTGTTGTCTTTCAGCCACACCCCTGATCTTCTGGTAAGAAAGATCTACACCTAGCCTTCTCGGACAAGGACGAAAAATCTCGGAGGGCCCGTGCGCAAGTTGCGCACGTTAAAGATCCCTTGGAGGTCTAAAATCGATAAGAGTGGGCTTCGGCCGCCACCCGGGCAAAATTCAAAATTTCCTACCAACTGAAAGTATTAGGTGTGTCCCGCGCGCTCATATGACCTTATGCAGTTGCGAGCGCCGTAAAACACTTTACAAAAACAAACAAACGGATGGATGCACTCTTAGGTTCTTAGCTGTCCAAGTGGTTTTACGCACTCCGCATAATTTAGCAAAATTTGATCATTTGTTGCATCATTTCTGATTATTTTCCTTTATCATTCTTTTTTAAAATTAACACACGTGCATAATTTCACATTTTTGGGCTCAATTTGCATAATTTCAGAATTTTTCTCGCACAAAACGACGGAGATAGTCTTAGTAATTGCTTACTTTAATTCGTAGTATAGACCAACATAATAAGTTAAGGACCGCTTGCAAACACTCTGAGTGGTTTTCATGGGTCGACCTGCACGTGGGCGTTCTTGGACTGATCCAGTGGCTTGAGAAGTTGATGGCGCTGCCTCAGGCGGGCAACGACAGAATGTGACACTGGCAAGCCTTCTGGCAACTTCTCGGGCTCCAACTTCCTCCAGCAGCCATGCCAAAGCTGAGGCACGATTAGTGGCATGTTGATGCGATACTGGATTTTGCGCAAACGGCGGCTAATAATAATATAAGTTATATTGCCACCAAAGTGAGCACAGTTGGAGACCATACGTCCGTTTATCACGTGCAGAGGAAATTTTAATTGAGGAATGTCCATGGTGTCGCACACAAATCGATAAAAAAAGGCAAATATGGCTAAAATTCCCCGAAGATTTCCTTGCTGCACGTGATGGTTTTGTAATTGTTACTCTCTTGTAACATCTTAATCTTCAGCCCTTAGACGACTTCTAAATGTGTTGTAAGTGCCATAAAAATCTTTACTGAAATTCTTTTTAAAAAAGAAAAAAGTCCCCACTCATTCGGATTTGAACCGGACACACCCAATGCACGTTGAAACCTGGTATGTCTTGAGAGAAGCGAATGTTCTTGTCTCTTGTATGAACTACTATCTCTCTCTCTCTCTCTCTCTAGTCTATGTGTGTGTCTGTGTATGCGTCTCTCTCTCTGTCTCTCTCGCAAAATAATAAGCTTTGCAGTACGCATTGGTAACCCCATTAACATTTTCAGAGCAAAAAATTTTGAAACATTCCTTGCTGTCTTTTTTTCGGATTAAAAATAAATAAAATAAGGGCTGTCTGTCAGGTCCTTGACTTATGTTGAAGTCTGCACATTGGGTCAGATTAAATACATATGTACAGTGATACAGTATGCAGAACAGATGTTACTGGTTCTTTTTTCTTTGTTTTGTTTTTATCTCCTTTACGCGGTACTTTACTTTTCAAACCAGACTGCTTGCTTGCGATAAAACGATTGTTCTTTTTGCTTGGGTCTGTCCCCAGGGTTTTATGCACCTCACATAATTTAGCAAAATTTGATCGTTTTTGCATAATTTCTGATCATTTAACTTTATCATTCTTTGTTAAAATTAACAGAATCGCACAATTTCACGTTTTTTGGGCTCAGTTTGCATAACTTCATAATTTTTTTGGGCATAAAACCGCGGGGACAGATTGGCCATTTTTAGATGAGCTATCTTTTCTTTTTTTTCGTTGCCGGGTTTCTTGTCGTTTATGAACATACGACGTAATGTTATAATACTCAACCCAGCACGTCCCCGTGTGGTGGATAGGGGAATGACTTCATTTTTTTTCGGTAAGCGTTTTACGGGGATCGCAACTGCATAAGGTCATATGAGCGGGCGGGACACATACATTCAGTTTGTAGGAAATTTTGAATTTTGCAAGGGTGGCGGCCGAAGCCTACTATGATTGATTTTAGATCACCAAGGGATCTTTAACGTGCACAGCATGCAGACGGGACCTCCGAGATTTTTCGCCCTTGTCCGAGAAGGCTAGGTGTACATCTTTCCTACCAGAAGATCAGGGGTGTGGCTGAAAAACAGCATTTAGAAGGAGCCAAGGAGAAGCAGTAGAAGGCTGCAGAAAGAGTCAGGAGCCCAGATGAGGGGGCAAAGGAGGTGAGGAGGGAAAGTGGAGACGAAAGCAGACCACAGAACATTGCAAGAGAGCAGGAAAGGAGGTGAAAGGAGATATTTTTTAGAACATTTTTCGGTCGCTACCCAGATTCGAACCCGGGACCTTTAAATGAGAGGCCAACACCATAACCTCCAGGCCATGAGAGCCTCCGAATGATCTCCATCTTTATCTCCGAGGGGGGTAAACCCACTATGTCGGGGCTCTTTTTTGGTGTTAAATCTAAAAATGACAAAAACGTCATTAAATCGAAACTAGCAAACCAATTTTGATTAGTTCTTCATCTAATGAATGAACTAACGGTATAAGAGACCTGTTTTTGGCAATTGCCAAAAAGTAGTTTGACGTCCAAGTCCTTGTAAAGGAATGTTCCCAAGCCGCTGTTAATATGGCTATTAACAAAAGGAACCCCGTTCAACTGCCAGACCCGCTATTTATTCTGCCACCTTCATGCTCGTCCAATGGGTGTCTCATTTCCCACACTCCTGCATTTTACTGATACTGAAACCAAGGGACCGGTCACAAAAATGACGTCAGCTAAAATTTGTCCAAAAATGCCCCTCCCCCCTCCTTGTCATCTTCTGTCATCTTTCACAGACCCCCCCCTCCCCGCCATCTTTTGTTATCTTTCACAGACCCCCCCCCCCCCTCTACACCACCTGCTGCCAAATGATCAAGTCAAACCTCAAGGAAGAGTGGATGAATGATTGGGCCACAGGTACGACAGGAAGGAGGATGTATGGCCACATGAATAAACCACTGGTCAAAGATCCAATCAATGAGTTGAGGAGGGGAGATCAATCCATAATCTTCCAACTTAGAACACAACATGTACCCCTCAACCAACATCTCAACCGAATAGGAGTAAAGCAGTCTGCTGCCTGCCCACTATGTGACTACCCCTCAGAGACAGTGGAACATCATCTGTTTTTCTGTAGAAAACTAACTGATTTAAGGGGATGTTTTCTTCCCAAGCTACCCCACACATCTAATTGCCTCTACTCCTCAAGACAACAATTAGAACAAACATGCAACTATTACCGAATGGCATCATGCAGAAGAGTGACCGCTCAGATGCTACTGGATGGCTAACAACAACAACAACCCCCCCTTCCCACCCTAGCTGACGTCAACCAGTATGCACATGTACATTCAGATAGAACCTGAACAGGGTGCACTTTATATTTACCTGTCCCCGTCGTTTTAAGCAAGAAAAATTCTGAAATTATGTAAATTGAGCCCAAAAATGTGAAATTATGAAATAATTCTAACAAAGAATGATAAAGGAAAATAATCAGAAAATATGAAAAAAATGATCATATCTTGCTAAATTATGCGGGGTGCATAAAACCACGGGGACAGATTTCCGCGTATGATCTTCATATAAGATCTTCCTTTCTTTTCTTTTTTTCCCCAACTTTTAAGAGCATCAAGGTTGGTTGACGTCAGCTTTGTAAGGACTACCCCCCCCTCCCCTTGTGATGTCATTTGTGAACGGTCCCCAAGTAATAAACAGTACAAGAATGTACAACCCCCTCCCCCCTCGAAAAAAAAGCAGCAACGCAAGATCAAAATCCCCCCCCCCCCTCCACAAGAAAACAACAATCAATAAATTTCATATGAAATACAGCATTCAGATCGCATTCTTTAATTTCAAGCAATGGTGGGTGAAAGTGAAAATGAACTGGGTCGGGACAAAAGGAACGGAAATCTATTACAATTTTCAATATCACGATGAATCATGAAACATTTATTACTTACATTACGGCCAACCAAAATATAACACGCAATAAAAGAATAAAAGAAGGTAAAAGTAACTAGTAATAAAAAATGTTAAGGTTAAAGATATAATATAACTAGTAACTCGAAAAATCTACAAAAAATAACTCTTAATTTGAAGTTAAAGTGTTAATGTTAAACGGGAAGAAAAATGCGACCTAGAACTTCTAGTAATTTGTCAAAAGGAGAATTTATATACTAGATCTAGTACTAAAACAGTATAAAATTATAAAATTATTGCAAGTGAACTCTCTTTCTAGAAAAAAAATTCTTAATAACAAATAAGATAAAAATAATACATTAAACAAAACAAACAAACAAAAACCCAAATACTGCAACACAAAAACTAATTCCTGCAAACCCCAACAGCACACAAATAAAGCGTTAAAAGTCTTTAAGAAAAAAAAATAACAACCTCAAAACAGAACAAGCAAAACAAAAGTACGTCTGTTAACACAAATCTCAGTAGGCGTATAGCAGAACACACCAGGCAATTGTTACCCTTAACAATGTAATAATATCACGAACAGTAACAGTAATACAACTATGTATAGAATCAATGCTTCATTTTTCTCTCGACAAAGATCAAAGCATTAAATCGGCCACTTTGTATACAATCTTGCTTCTTTTGCAGACAGAAAGCAGGAAAATCTACAAACAAGTATAGAATCAAGGCTTAATTTTTTCTCTTGACACTTATCAAAGCATTAATAAATTGGCCTCTTAGCATACAATCTTGAATCTTTTGCAGACAGAAAGAACAGAAAATCTACTAATAAGTTTAGGATCAAAGCTTAATTTTTCTCTTGACAAAGATCAAAAGCATTAAATTGACCTCTTTACATACACAATCTTGTTTCTTTTGCAGACAGAAAGTAGAAAATCTACAATCTTGGTGACTGAACAGTTTTTGCATGAACAGATAGATAGATCTACACGGTAGACTTATGGTGCAATAAGTTTTATAAGGCCACAACATTCATTCTCTTTAGATTGAGGGGGAAGAGAAGGAGGAAGATCGTATGATAAAGATATAATAAAAACTGACCACAACATCGTAAGATCATCTGCACAAAGGAATAAAAACGACTAAAGCAGAAAAAGATTCAAACCATGGAAAAAACAAGCTCACAAGTTCTGATACTGTTAAGTGTCACAGGAAAACAAAGGATAAAACAAAGGCATCTTTCTTGAAAATATCTCGCTTACCCCTACCAGTTATAATCTGAAACTTGTGACAGTGTGAAAGTCTCACTTTGAAGTCTCTCTCCCATATTTTGAACTCTCACCATTCATGTACTTAACAAAACTTACTCAATGAAAAGGAAAATGAAAGTAATGAAGAATTTAAACATTTATAAAAACAACATTAATTTATGTCTTGCTGAAAAATTTATTGTAATAGCTTTGTACTTTTAATTTGTTTCCAAGGGTAAAACATTCATTATAACCGTATTTCCATACATTTTTCCCCAAGTTTCGATTCAATTTGAAATGTCACTAGCCGGTAAAGCTTTAACTCTTTAAGCCCCCTGAGTTTTTTCCACCGTTTTCTCGGAATTTTTTTCTAATCACCTGAACCTAGTGCACTGTGTCTCATTATAGCCCCAACAGTTTGCCTCCAACTTCTAAATAGCGGAAACAAAGGCTTAGTCATTATTAAAAAACTTGGTTCGGGAATAGTGCCAAAAAAAAACAAAAACTAGCCTTAAGTAAAACGAAATGGTTGTCACTAGTACTGGACGCTCCCAGCTTCCGATGAGGTTCAAAGAGTTAACTCATAAACAAGGACAACCTTCATTATATTCGAGTTTCACTTTAAGTTTACATCTAGCAATGTTGAGATAGAACAGACACCTGGAGACAGAATAGAAGCACAGCAACAAAGGAGAAATCATTCCAGACGGCACAATCAGCAACCATGCAAACCATTCAAATTTTCTGCAGAATATCACAGACTGGAATGACACTTTGGTACCGGCACTTCATTTTCACTAAAACAAACAGTACTGGTTTCGACTTGCACGAACAATTCACTGACATCTTCAAAGACACCACCCACTGTCGGTACGGACAAACAAAGAGTTTAGTTAGAGCATTCGTGTATGTGAAGCCCAAGCTCTATTTCACATTTCACCACTTTCTCTCTTTCAAAAACCAAACCCCCCCCCAAAAAAAACTTTCATTCTTCAAAGAACAAACATTACCCTCTTTCACTCCCTGTTACCCCAAAAAACTGTCAACATCATCTGGTTTAACTTTTGATTCCGTACGTTCATTCTCCCTCCAAAGCCACCTCCGACTGCGCCAAGACAAAAAATGGGCCTTGGTTGAAATACTCCATCAACTTCACATGATACGGCCGCCCCAAAATCTCAACGGCCGTCGGAGAATGGGCCAGGATCCGAACCAGCTCAAACTTCTCATCTTTTCCCTCCTTGGTGTTCTCCGTGGCTCTGTCCAGGACGTACTCCCGGAAGCCGGGGCAATTGTTCATGAGCTTCTGCCCCCACGGGCACAGCGCCACGCTTTGCAGGAGGTGGAGGGCGGGGATCCGGAGGTCGGAGAACGGCTGCTGGGCTATCGACCACACCGAGTCAAACGGAAGCGACATGGAGGTGCCGAACCAACGCTCTGTCAAGGTCAGCAGTTCCACCGTCTGATGCTCGACCTGCGCACAAAAGATTCGATGATAAACGATAACAAAAGATATTGCAACTGTACATGATATTACACCCCCTCCCTCAACCACAACACAATTTAGATCAGGCTGCTTCAAGCCTACGTGTCAGTGCCAACCTGTACTGAGAGGTAGAGAATGTCTTGTTTTTTATTCAGAAGTCTAGTCTCCACTATACCAATTATGGTCTCAACGTCCTTTAAAAAAAAAAAACCCCACACAGAAAGAAATCAAAATACATTCAAAGTCACTTCATCATTTCTTGTACTTTGTATACTACTCACCAATTACAATGATCCTGTGTGTGTACAAGTTTGTGTGTGTGTGTGCGTGTGTGTATATGTTTATGTGTTCATGTGAGTGCGAGTGGGTGTGTTCAAGTACGTATGGGTGTGTGTACAAGGTGAAACACCAAACCAATATGCCAGGATCTAAACAATAAAGATGCCTCTAGTCTTATCTTATCTCATCTAACCAGACGCCAGTATTTCTGAAAGCAAACAGAGCAGCAAACATTTCACAACCTGATGACAACCCCGCTGCGCATTCACCGACACAAACGTCTTTTAGTTTTAGTAGAGGGTTTCACGGTGCTCGCAACTGCACAAGGTCATATGAGTGCCAGAAGATTAGAGATGTTACAAGAGAGTAACAACCATAAAAAAGAAGAAGGGGAGATAAGGACGATAGATGTTTAATAGGAAAGAAGAAGCACCCCACACCAGAGAGCGCCCCGCCAAACACCCGAGTGCTCGAAGCATGGCTACTCATCACTAACCTGTAAATAAACAATACTGGACATGGCACGCAGAGCTCGGACCTTCAGCTCCGATGATCCTGTCTGAATCAAGGAGCCAATCCCTTGTATGCACTCAGTCATGGGGTTCCCTGAAAGCAAACAGAAGTTTCAAATTCATTGAGATTCGGCTTCATCTTGCAACGTCACAAACTATTCAGAAAGTACCCCGACAATATCAATATGTACAATCTTACATTTAAGCAACAAAAAACACACAGGAGTAGGCCTACAACGTTTCAACAAACCCCCCCCCCCAAAAAAAAAAAAAAACTAGCCATTATCTTAGCAAACTACTTTAGAACCATTGAGGCTGCAAAACAGTCACAGTATCAGCATGTAGATTTTTTTAGCTACAGTCAACCCTATTTTTGAGTTTTACAACACTTGCAGTACAAATGGGTTATATAAGTACAAGTGCCACCCACTGTTGCAAAGAAACGTGGTCATCTCGGACTGTGTCATTATAATAATAAAAGAGAAAAAACACAAAGGGGGGGAGGGGGAGGGGGGTGTTTGTCATTTGAACAGTTTTTAGTCTCGGACAGGTGGTTGTTAAATCATGTTCAATTGTATTTTTAAAAAACAATTCACATTTACTTTCATAAAAAAAAAAGAACATGATTTGACCAATGAATCACGCCATGTAGATAAAAATGAGACAAGTTCTGTTTTTTAGAATTGAGGAAGAACAAGCAGAAACGACTTTTTCGTAGACACACACTACGGGGGTGAAAACATCTGTCGTCCTCATTTCTCCTTATTTTATTTGTTCACTACTCCCTAGTAACACCTCTAATCTTTGGCACTTACATGACCTAACTATGTTGCAAGTGCTGTAACACTCTTACTTTAAGAAAAAACAAACAAAACAAAAAAAGAGAGAGAGAAAGAAAGAAAAAAAGAAAGAAACACAACACAGCCCTGTAAAGCACGACTCACACACCAAGTTTTTCCAGGGCCAGTTTCCCCTCCGGCGTGGAAGAGATAAAAGCCAAAGTGTCCACGGAGACCCCCTGAAGACTGGCGTCCCCTCCACACACGTTCATCAGGACCAAGCGAACGAAATTGTCAAATTTGGAGAGAACCTCTTTTGGATGATGTCTGGCGAGACCTCCAAAAAATTTTATGAGACCTGGTCGAAAGGAAAAGCAAAAAATTTGAGAATGACAAACAAATTCAAAAGGATACAAAATACAGTAAAATAACAAACTGTTCCGATTCAAAGAATCAAGGGTACACATTAACTCTTGAAACCATGAGTTTTTTCCACCGTTTCCCTGAGTTTTTTCTTCAGTCACTATGTCTCATTATAACCCCAAAAGCTTGCCTCCAACATCTAAATTGCAGACACAAAGGTTTAGTCACTCCTAAAAAAACTCTGATCGGGAATAGTTCCGAAAAACAAGCAAAAACGAGCACTAAATAAAATGAAACAGTTGTCACTAGTATTGGGCGCTCCCAGCATCCGGTGGGGAACAGGGTTATTACCGCCAACGGGGTTGAAAGAGTTAAGCTATAATAGAGTCTTTAGTCTTTTTCTAATCCAAGCTCCCCCCAAAACTAATTCAACTACAGATCCAGGCTCTGAAATAACTCAACACATGTATGTGTCCGTGAACAGCCCCATTGGAATAGTTTAAAAAATTTTTCTTTAAAATTAATTCTTTTTTTTTATAGTTCTAGTGGAATAGTTAATTCTCGTGTACGATAACACTTTAGAGTAACTTTACCCATCATTTCTTCATTACATTTCTTAAAAAGACAAAGATTCAGAACTAGCAATAATGACTGAACTATTACATCTACTCCGGCTAGTCTTAGGAAACACACATCATGAGCTCTGTTCTATGTTGCATGAAATAAATTCAGTAAACAATAAGTCATTTTCAGTCTTTCCCTTTTTCTGTAACCATTTTTACTCTTCCTGTAACACGAGTTATATCCGAGGGCAGGCATTAGCTCCTCTCTGAGAGATTATCACGAATGTTTCAAGATTCCCTATTCTAGGACTGATCCAATCAGTTTCTGTTCTCTCAACACCTTTGATATACTTCCCTTGGATGAAGGTTTTTTGAACGGAATTGTATTGCTTGCTGTTCAGCGAGAATTTGTGCAATACAAATGCTATTTATGTCACGACGTGGCGGAATCAGGCGCTCGTCAATTTTTGGGTATACGAAGTTATAGGTATTATCTTAGAGGTTGGTAATTTGCCTTGCATCTTATGAAAAAAAAATCCATTTATCTTGAATAAAAGACGAGATATTTGCGATTGAAGGAGGTGAGGTCACCTGGTTTCAGAAGTAAAATTAGTGAGAAAGGGATCGCCAAAGTTTGGTGACTTCCATAGCTCAAGAATCCTTGGAAACTGAAAATTAACATTTTCGTGCCTTTAATCAATGTTTTTCCATGAAATCTACACATTAGAATGATTTTGAATGGACTTACAAGGTATTGAGTCAAAAAACACAAATTCAAAAAAAAATTCCAAACTGGCTGAAAAATACTGATTTCTTCGATTTCATTATTTTGACTAGTGCCAGATTTCACCATGCAGCCTCACATTTATCTATTACTATTACTCCTATTATTATTATCATCATTATTATCATTAGGGACACGGTCCCTGCGAGATGAATAAAGATTGTCATTGTCATTATTGTCTTCTTAAAGAATTCCCAACCTGGTAAGAGAAGACCAGACATTGGATTGTCACTGACGCCGACCATCATCTCTTCCAGCTTTCCCACGATGCCGTGCTGGTCCAGGAAGACGAGGCCGTGCGGGGACTGCGCCAGGTCGGAGAGGAGCTCGATGGCGTTGAGCTGTACCAGGATGTCGTCTTTCTGCATCTCGTTGATCAGCTGCTGCAGCACGCCCGAGGAGACGCAGGCGTCGAGAGCCGCCGGCGCCAGCATGCTGAGGTCTGTGGCAATCTGAGGGCAGCGTGGTGAAATGTTATAATAATAGTGGAATCCGCTTAACCCTATCTGTACGCCCTGGGGGTCATTTTGTACCCCCAGGGTTGTGTTCTTCATATTTTAGAATACTTCTAGTACGAAGATCTCTTTGAAACTTTCAGTATTTCTCAAAAAGTCATTTTGACAGACTGCTATGTAAAGCGCACGGATCGGTTTAACGAGTAAATTTCCTCTTTGAAAATGGTGGCACAAAGTTCCCCACGACATATGGATACGATAGTAAAACATGACGTACGGACAGGGTTAAAGTGAACTCTTTGTGACCAGAAGAAAGTGTTCACTTTATCAGAGGTACAGTGTAACCATTTTGGCAGGGTGGAGGCCTAGAAACAATAGCTACACCCAGGGGTGGGTCTAGGGCGGAGGTGGGTCTAGGGCGGAGGTGGGGTGGGGCGAGCCTAGACTAGAGCTCTTTCTTTCTCATTGAGATTGCCATCCCCAACACCGAGCTGGGATTGTCTGCCGATGCCCGAGGCAAAGAATTGTATTTTCACAGCAGGGCGACAGAGACACGGTCAGTCCGTTCTTCGCTTTCACTCATTGAACGTACTGACCAAGTCTCTCCTTGGGCATATATCAAGGAGGTGAAGATCTGAAGGATGGGAAGTAGTAGGCCTACTTGGTCTAACTACTTCTTCTACTCTATGTCTACTGCCCAGGCAAACTGCTTTAAAATCGTCTGCCAAAGCGCAAAAGGCCGCACACAAGATATCTAGATTCTTTTTTCTCACCTGAAATCTTAAGAATATCTGCCCCTAAGTAAACTGTCATAAAATGTTAAAATGAGACTCACACAAATTCATATTCAACTGTAAAACAAAAAGAAAAATCTCTCCATCCCTCCTGTAAAAACTGCCACCTTAGGAGTAACAATAAATACCTTCCTATCCCAGGAACAACAATGCCAGTTCTCTTTCCCCGCATCTGACACCAACGTCCTCGTCACTAAAATAATACAGCATACGCAGCTTTAACAATTTTACATGAGAGCCAAGAAACAATGTTGTTATCAATAAAACAACATTTACTTTAGGAAAGATAATAAAGAATTCAATATCAAAATTGTATTCTTTAACACTTTGACCTGGAATGTTTGCAAAAAGTTTGCAATCTCTGAAACAATAGTCAGATTTTTGGCTCTCCTGTAAAATTATAAAAACTGCGCAAGTATACTATACTTTAAAACTGATGGCATTGGCGCTCATATGACCTTATGCAGTTGCGAGCGCCGCAAAAACTCGACTAAAACAAACTGATGGCAGAACAATACATTTCCACTGAGAAATGACCAAGTCTCGGACAACAAAAAGCAAACCGCCAAACCTGGTAGACGCGGAACCGACAGGTGTCGGTCCTCTGCATGGCAGCTCTCAGGTGCTGTACTGTTTGCTCATTGAATAATACTTGAAGGCCACTCGGGTTTCTCCCTGTATTAAAGAAAGGTAATAGAGACAATAAATGTATAGATCTATGTGAGGCATGCTGACAAAAAGAGTTACTTCTCGCAATCCACAAATGGAAGTATTGGCAAAAAATTAACACTGGGGTCAAATTTGTAGATTTTCTATTGATGCCACATTAATATTATATTCTTTAAGTATAACACGCCTTTCATTATTTCATACTTATAAATTGTAAAAAATTCACTGATAAGCGTGATGTATCTATTTCCATAGTTCTCAAATCCGAGAAGTAACTCATTTTGTCAGTACGTTTCACATAATTAATATGCATCACGGTGCTGTGGAATCAGGCCCTCATCAGTTTTTCGGTTTATGGAGTTATTGCTATTGTTTTAAAGTTTGTTCGTTTTTCTTGCTCTCGATGAAAAAATATCCATCAATCTTGAATAAAAGTTGAGATATTTGTGATTGAAGGGCGTGGGGGAATGCCTGGTATCAGAGGTAAAATTAATGAGAAAATGGCTGCCAAAGTTTAATGACTTCCAAAGCTCGAACGACCACTGAAACTGCAGATTTATAAAATTTTGTGCCTTTGATCAATGTTTTTCAGTACATCCACCCAGAAATGTGTTTTTAAATGGACATAAAAGGTGTTGAAATAAAGAAATAAAGAAAAGAAAAAATCAAAATTCGCCTTAGGGAAAATGCCCGTTTTTAAAATTTAATAATTTTGACGGATGCCTGATTTAACCACGATGCCTCACAAATATAAATATCACAAACCCCATAAAGATGCAGGCAGGCACTCCTTTTGTTTTATGCCCCCCATCACACAACTTAGATCATTTTGGAGGCGGGATTCCACTCTGCCTATCACAGTCAAACTAGGCTGAGATAAATAAAACGTCCCAGCAGAAAGACAGGGATACTTGATAAAAATGTCAAACCCACAAGGACTTTGAACTAAGGCCTTCAGAGTATTAAGGCAAAGCCCCTAACCTCTACACCAAGGACGCAAGTATGCAGAAACCTGAAAAAAAACCCACAGACAACATGCAAAGAAAAAAGTGTAAAACGTATAATCTCCCCCCCCCCCCTAACAGCCAAAAGAAAAAAAAGCCCAGAGAAAGATCTTCTTGAAGTTCCCTTCACTCATTCAAAAACAGAGACAATAGAAAAAAAAACTTGACATTATACACAAAACTGATTTTAACCGCTTCACTGCTACTCAGCCTGCGGAGTACGTCCATAAATCGGGCCCTCATATGAACTGTAGACGTACAGTGTACGCCCGGCAATATCGCTATTTTGTTTTGTTTCCTACTCAGCTGGTAATTGCAATTTAGTATCAAGAGTGGGCTCCCCAGAAAGCTCTTTTCTTCTTGAGTTAGAGAAGCTTTAGTTTGCCCACGGCTGTTCAGTTTCACTCTCCGAGCGGCGCACTTAGTTGTAGCCCGTCTGACCCTTCTGACCCCTGGCGGAAGGTAATAAATCTCGACGCGTTACGCCACTTTCACCGGCCTATCCCTAGATCTGACCGCTCCTCGCGGAAAGGGTACAATTTCCAGAAATTAACTGGAATTTACAGCATAGTACTCCCTTTCTCCATCCCGTAAACCTAGGAGTGTTGTATACCAAATAAAAGCTCAGCATCTCCTCTATAACCCGTAGTTTGAAACCAGTTTCTATCTCGTTTTATACTCCGTTGGGATACCTATATACTACCACTATTGTACAGCTCTGTGTTATTGAAGTTCTTGGATTTAAAAGAGAATTTTAATAATTCGAACCGACAATTTTTGTTTTAACCTTCATATTTCTTTTCATAAATCTATTCTCTCCATTGTGGTGAAAAATCTCAGGGTAGGAGCTAAATTTCCATGAACTAGCGCACTTTATGTGACTAGTCTAGTGCAATGTTCGGTGCAAAGAAAAACGCTGTGAAGCGAGAACTTGCCGTCAGACTTTCTTGTGTGTTTATAATTATAGAGCCTTTTAACATCAAAGATGAAACACTCTTATAACATCCACTTTGAGAATTTAAACAAGTAGTGTCGTACTTCTGGTGGAAGAAGTTTAAAAAATAAAGTTTCTAAGCAGCGTCGATTTTTGTGGAAACACTTTAAGTCTGACTTATTGCAATATTATAGACTGAACATTGACAACGACACAGCGACAAGCATTCCAACACTCAGTGCAGGAAATGTGGCTCGCGAATATACGCACCACTGAAGCAAATTACAAATGCGGCTTTGAAGTCCGCACAGAAATGTGTAGAAGACAGTGCCTATGTTTGGTCTGCTTACGACGCAAGCATAAACATTAACCAGTGCTCTGTGTGTGCTCGCTGTGTTAAACTTAGCAAAGGGTGCATTAAAGAACGCATTCCTTTGCTTACGGAAGGACACGAGTTGCCTTGTCCGTCCCCCGCTCTTATGGGAGTGGAGTCTGCGAGCATAACGGAAACCCCCACCCCAGATGTTTCCTCTGTAAGTATAGGCGATGGTGCTCAGCCCTTTACCACTCAATCCATTGACAGCACATTTACACATACAGACGAAGACTCATTTTACATTTCACCAGAAACTCATATTTTGACATCCACACCTAAAACGAAGACGAAACAGTTCACAGACAGTACCAGCTCCCCATTAGTCAAACATGAAACGACATTAGAGTCAACACTTTTGAAATCGGACACAGAGCTACTCACGCCGTTAGAAGTAAAAGTTGCTAGATCTACACATCTGATCAGATGAAAGCTTAACACATCTCAGACGAAAAGGACAGTTGAGGTTCAAAACAAAAGGACAGCCATTAGTGTTTCAAAGGACAGTCACACACAGAATATCATCTGACTTAGCAAGCTCACCGACAAGAAAACGAAGAACAAATATAATTAACAAAGTTAGGCAGTCGGTTGCTGGTAGAAGTAAAAGTGTTTTCCCACTCATTGACAAGACTGTGTGCATTAATCAACAATAGCAACAAGACATTTTGGTCCTACCTCATAAACGTAAGTGTGTTTGAAAGTTCAAAGTCTGACTGTGAGCTGAAAATTAAGACTGTAACAATCTGTCGGTCCGTTTATTTTTAATTATTTTTTTTAAAAACATGTTTGTTTGTAATAACCAATCTATTGCGAACGCCACATTCCCCCTCTTTTAAACAACACTTTCTTTTACTTCTCCGTGATAAAAATTATACTGTCGTAAACTACACCTTCGTCTTCATGTGATCATCTGGTTGTTGTTTCATTGACTTTCTCGGCTTTCATAAGAACTGGTGTTGTTTTATGTGTACAAAACATAACATTGCGGGGGAGCCGCTGACCGCGAGGCCGAGCGCCCGCAGGTAGCGTGACCGGGGCGTGACCTCGTCTCGGAGGTCAGGTCGGCCGGCAACTAAGCGATCCTGAGTGGAACAGCCGTGTTCCCTAGTTAGACCAACTATGACCGAAATAGCTTGAATTATAGCGTCACTGAACAGTCACTCTCTCTTCACAGTTCTAGCGTCTCACTCTAGCTCCGAGCTATGGCTGATTACTCGCGATGAAAGCTCTCAACGTATCAAGCTATCGAAGAAATTTTTGCTGAAGATGATAGCCGTTCATTCATTTCTCTTTACAATGATATAGACTTTGTCATGCATTTGATGCACTACCACAGAGTAAATAGCACTTTAAAAGGATCACCGTTTGAGTGCTATTCCTGGAAATAAGGTCAGCATAGGGCAGGGAATATAGGTCAGCAGTGAATGGTTTAAGGTAGATTTTGGTTGGATAGATCAGAACATCAGCATAAAAAGACTTACCCATGTGTGTGAGAATGGCCGCAGCCGCGGGTCCAATATCCAAACTGTCGGCAGTGAGAAGACTTACGACTGCCAGAACCAGGTCAGTGTGCTGACACAAGCTCTCCGGGGCATCGCGGCTCAGTCTCGTTAACTGGGGGACAACACAAGAGCTATTATTATCGGTTGTTATCATCATCAATGCCTTTCACCCCTGGCAGGGTATAGGCCACATACAAACTCCTTTCATTTATCTCTGTCCTGGGCCATCCTTCTAAGCTTGTTCCAAGTGAGCTTCATCTCTCTCATGTCCCTTTCCACGCACCTCCTCCATGTTTCCTGTGGCCTACCCCTGCCTCATGCTCCTTGTGGGTTCCACTGCAGTGACTGTCTTGTGATGTTTCCGCTGGGCCTTCTTAAGGCGTGTTTCATCCATCGCCACTTTCTTAGTCCTATTTCTACTTCTATCCTTTTGTCCAGTCCTTTCCCACAACTCTTCATTTCTTATTCTATCCTGCCACTTAATTCTTAGAATACTCATCATACATCTGTTGATGAAAGTCTGTTTTAGTAGAGGTTTTATGGTGCTCGCAACAGCAGAAGGTCATATGAGCACCAAGGGGTGGATGTCAACAGGAAAGTCCTTACAGGGAATCAGGCTTACTCTGCTCACCTCTTTCGATTCAACAGCACAAAGTCAGCTTCGACTATTAAGGAACCTCTGAACTAGCGAGTCGCAAGAGTGTGACAAACATACAAAAGGAGTAGAGGAAAACGATGACAGTACGGATTAGGAAAAGAAAAAGCAGCAGTTCTCTGTTGCAGTTCAGGCACAGTTATCAGCATGACCTTGATGAATCAGCCGATTTACAATTATCAATTCTACTGCACATAAGAACAGGGTTAATGTCCCCATTTGGGAATGGCCTAAAGACACTTCAGTGAGTAGCACCGCCGCGGGGGGTCGAGCTATTATTATCTAATACTCTCATGACCAAAAATTTACAGTTGTGATACCATAAGTACTTAAAGAGGTTAAACCTTAAACAGAGTCAACTTTTAACAATAATAATTAAAAATTACATTTATATAGCACATACACTCAACAGCATGCTCACTCTATGTACTTTACTACTATCATAACCCCAGCAGACCCAAGACAATCTGGAACATTCTCCGCTTCCTGTGAAGCATGCTGTCCAAGCTGTGGACTCAAACACTAACAAACTGACAAGATTAATAATAATAATAGATAGCATTTGTATAGCGCAAATCCCTGCTCAACAGCAAGCTCTATGCGCTTCATAATCTATACTATTACCCCAGCAGACCTGAGAGCATTCTGAAACAGCTTCAACTTCCTGGGAAGCATGCGGTGCAAGCAGCCATTTATAGGCGCTAAAACACTAACAAACTGACAAAATAAGATCTTTCTTTATCTGTAGCCGGAAACCTAATTACCACCAGGGTGAAACGAGGAAAATTTGCGCAAAGTGTCATTCCCAAAGAGACAACATCGGTCCGGCCCCTGAGGAGATTCGAACAAATAACCTTACAGAAGTTGTGAGTCTGAGAACCTGGCAGTTGAAAAGGTAAACAACATAGAATGATACGTAAGGAACATGCCAAGTAGGGAAGTCAAACTACACCCAGAAACATTTCAGGCACTCATCAGTTTTGGGGTAAATGAAGTTATTGGTGTAATTAATAATAACAAAAAATGAGATTTATATATAGCACTCAACCCTGATTAAAGTACACAGGCTCTGAGAGCTTTACAATACAGTATAACGTACAACAGTAACATAAAACTTTGTGTTTCGACTAAAAGAAAATCACTGCAAATATTCATCTTATTAATTCAAAAACTGAAACGACTTCAGCTGACATTTGAATGAATCAAAAGATTTGATCACTCTTATATTGTAAAGCTTGTTCATTTGTCTTGCTTTTGATGGACAAAAAAACCCAACATTTATCTTTAATACTAATAGTACAGACATTTACTATTGGAGGAGTTGAAAGTTATTTGGTGTCAGAAATGGCTGCCATTTACTTCTGTCTATATCTACTTGTCGAGAAAAAGTAAATGTTTTTTATTACATTTGTATGACAGATATTTTTGTGAGTGGTGTGTGTGTGTGTATGTGCCAACATGTGTGAGAGAGAGAGAGAGAGAGAGAGACTGAGAGAGAGAGAGAGAGAGAGAGAGAGAGAGAGAGAGAGAGAGAGAGAGAGACAGACAGACAGACAGATAGATATACAAAGAAAGAGGGAATACAGACTTAACCAAAACTATTTAAAAACATAAAACTAAACTCACCAAAGGCAAACACAACACTTGCACTCGCTCGTCTGGCAAGTTCAGCCAAGTCAGAATGTGTGAGTGGAAGTGCTCCAGGACTACGGGGGCACTCAGGGTAGACAACATTCTGTCCAAAACCTCCCCGCATGCCTCCTGCTCCTTTCTGTAAAGGAAACAAAGATCAGGAATAAAATAAAAAAGAAAGTCATTTGAAAAGTATATTAAAGCATAGGCCTATATATGTGACCTTTGAAATACATTTTTATGCTTCTTCTTTTACTCCCCTTTACTTGAAGTTACCGGGTGAAAATCGAAATTTTAGGAAATTATCATTCCACCTGAAAACGGCAAACTGGTGCTTCCTGCGAAAGACAAGGCAGAGTAAGTTTTCTATACAAATTCAATGCAATTGATGAAACTAAAAAGAATCACGAAGCATCGTGATCCAAATCGGGGAAATGAGGATGCATGAGACTTGGGAAAAAAATTGAGAATAATAGGCCTATCCATCCCTTTTAAATCAGGATGAATCACGAGTGGCAGGTCTGCAAACCCCGCCAACCTGTACATCGAACAGTACTCTCATATTTGTGCAAGAATTCCTGCTTGGGGAGAATAATAGGATATCATATACCACACCTTACCTGCCTGCATGTGAAGCCAGAGAAGAATCTCCATTCTCAATCATGCCAGGGCATCACACTAGGCTAGGCTATTATTACCACCGAAGCACATTGGTAAGGAAACAATCAGCGAGTCAAACTTTTAATGAAGCATTGATGGCGCTTTTCCGGTAGTTTCCACCCCGCAATTGTTATCTCTGCCGGTTTTGACCCCAAGAGTACAACAAGCCCCTCTAACAAAAATATGGTGGGGGGCTCCCTGAATTTTTACTATAAATAATTTGACGTTTTGCAGTTGTTAAGTTTGATATCTTAGCTTGCCGCACATCAAACGTATAGTATAGATCTAGATGTAGATCTAGGCTCAAATAAGGGGGGTGGGAACTACCGAAAAAGTCCCGCATTGATTTGATTCTAAGACTCTTTTAAGATTTGATTTTTTGAAGCAGCAAAGAATAGGCTAGGTATCGAGAGAGATTTTTTTTTTTTACATGAAAGATTTTATTTTTTGCTGGATGACTCTTACATTTAAATGTAATTTAGGTTGACCGCTGCTATACGGACTCGAGTCCGAACAGCCTTTCACGGGTATTCGGACTCGAGCCTACCGTGGCTATTTGGACTCAAACTCCATGCACAACACAGAATTTTACATTAAGTGTAGAATTCTGTGGTGCACAATCACTAGGTGTATCGAATGCGAAGCAGACAAGCAATTCGACCTTGGCCTTCCTCGGTTTCTACGATCTGCCCAACAAATGGACGCCGACCGTGGTGACCCCTTTTAACAAAGAATTTAATATAAAAGTAGGGCCGGGCAGTGGGCAACGGTATTGGAGGGAATATAGACCATGCAAAAAAAGGGGTTCAGGTGGTGGGGCGGCCCTGGGGACGTAAGATGGAGAGAGAAAAACTAAGAGAAAGAGAGAGAGGAAAAGTAAGAGAGAGAGAGAGAGAAAGAGAGGGGGGGGGGCTGTCCTATATGGACTGATTATATATGAATTTTTTAATGTTTCGATCTCTTTGTAGTCGTGAAACGCAGTGTAATTTGGTACAGTGGAATCTTGTTATAATGAGAGGGAGGGGACCGGTGCCAAATGTCCGTTATAGCACGATTCTCGGGATCCAGTAATAAATTCAAAGGAAATAGTAAAGTAGGCCTAATCTATGAGTGTGGTTTTCGGTTTACTTCTTTTTGTATTCTAGCCTGATGATGATGATATGGGTAAGATTGTACTTTACCGGACCACCGGTCGGAACTACTTTCGCTATGGCGCCCCTGGTGCCTAGTGGCCCGCTATTCTTGGTTTCCGAGCTCCCCTCCCTACTCACTCCCCTACTCAGTTTTCTACGTCCTCACTCTTCAACTGCCAGCAATCGACTGACGTCTCTTACCGGGTTTTTCAGTCATCACGACCGTGCCACCGTGCCCTTTGACCCATGACCCTGACATCTTGAGGCTAATTGGTCAATCTAATCCCGTGGTCCACTATTCTTATTTGCTCGCAACTCTGCTGGCCTGGCCTAGGCCTACTCCTGGTCCGGCAAAGTACAATGGAGGGCTAAAGAGGCACACGAGAGCTCATTTGCATAATTGCAACCCCATTGGCCCTGCTCGCGACTTGGCGAGTATCTACCCCGATTGTCCGCTCATGTTATTGTTTATAATATGTGTGTGTGAGTGTCTTTAAATTATTGTTGCCAGGGGGGCTAGCCCCCCTGAAACTCCCTGTAAACACGACTGTCCGCTCATGTTATTGTTTCGCATTTTTGTGTGTTTTCTTTATTATTTATAGTTTCCAGGGGGGCAAGCCCCCCCTGAACCCCCCCTCCCCCTCCTCACTGTTGGTATGATACACGGTGGTCCACCAAAGTTAAATCCCCTGCCCACTCTCAACCACCAACTCTCGCTCACCTCGCCTCGCCAGTTGCCGCTGGTTTGCGCTGTGCGTGCGCGAAGTCGCCCGCGGAACTACCTTTTGTCCGCACGCAGAGTACTATGACTATGAGAGCGTAGTTAGGCTAGGTGTGTGTAGTAATCACGGACCGAGACGGGTGGTCCGGTAAAGTACAATCCAGCCATGATATGGTTCAACATGACCTGTAAGTCTTACTTGATCAAAAGTCAAGTCGGGTTTCTTCGTATTTTAAAATTCCATTCTCATTCACCAACCCATGTATGGTCCCATGATATTATCAGGTTTTAATCTTCTTCCTGACAATACAAGTTCTATTTCTATTAACTAAACGCAGGCACAAAAAGCAACGTGTAAAGAGCTCCTAAAAGACCCTTGCTGTAGTCACAATAATGACTTTGCTAAATAGAAAGTGACTTCGATGAGAAAACGAAAGTAGAACTTTAAGCGTGAATACTTACTTATTTGATGTGTTCAAACAATTAAACACATTAGTTACTGAAATATTCGGCAACACATTTCTTAGTTCTGATGGTGGCACAGCACAAATTACAGTCTTGAGCTCTTCTAAAGCTTCAGTTTTGTTGTTTGTTGCTTCAAGTCGGTTCACAAGATCAGCAATAGCTGTTTCAGCGGCCATGTTGTTCAAACTTGGTAACCGATCTAGTGAAACTCGATTCTTTGTACTTGCATCGATCTCTTAGTCTTTGTTCTTTGTGTGCAAAATACGTCCCTTCCTAAAAGATATTCATAAAAATATAGTTATTAAAACCAGCTTTGTAATATCCATCTCTCAATTTTGCAGGATCTTAAAGTGAGGAGAGGGCTATTTTGTCATGAATCAATTCAGTAAAATAATTTTTATTATCGATATTTTAAAAATGTTTCGATTAAAAATATCTTCCGGCGTTCGCTTTCCTTTGACAATTAAATTATTGTATGGTTCAGTTTTGCAAAGTTCATAATCATCATTCATGCAGAAAGGCTCATTTAGAAGATGCATAGTGCTAGAAACAGATATTTTATCACCACTATTATAAGACATAAAAATAAAAGCAGACATTTCTGTAAAATCTGTTTTACCTCATCAAGTTATTTGAAAATCAACTCGCCGAAATTTAAAAAATGAACGGTCTTCCGCGTTCTTAGTTACAAAATGGCGATTAACTGCAAGTAGAATCGCGAATGTCGGAACTAGAATTTTGGAGCGTCGTGGGAAAGAAAATGGCATGTTATGATAACACTGCACCGTTTGGTTACACAAGATAGGTTTTAGAAAAGAAACTAGATCTAGATTTTAGATCGATACCATGAATCTATTGTTTTATTATATAGCGTTTTGTCTGCCGGCGACAATGTCAATGATGACACAATGTGATGCACCTTCCGTCATCCATTGATCAACAATCAATCATGGCTCTTTTCCCAACTCCAAAAGATTTGAGTAAACAAGAACTGAAGGAATTTGTTGGTCACAAAGACGAGGTAAGGAATAAACTATAAATTATTTATGGCTGCTCTGTGTTGTGGATGAGCTGTTATAATCATCAATTTTGTCTTTTGTCTCAAATGTCACATATTGTTTGTGTGTGTGTGTGTGTGTGTGTGTGTGTGTTTGTGTGTGTGTGTGTGTGAGAGAGAGAGAGAGAGAGAGAGAGAGAGAGAGAGAGAGAGAGAGAGTGTGTGTGTGTCTTTCTCTGTATGTGTGTGTGAGAGAGAGAAGAGAGAGAGCTGTGTATAGTCTTTATCGCGTGTGCGCATGCATGTGCGCATGTATGTGTGTGTGCACATTATGTATTTGTGTGCTGTTGGTCTATTTTGTGTGTGCTGTGTGTAGGCCTTGTGTGTGTGTGTGGGGGGGGAGGGGGGGTAAGTCACTGAATGTGCATATATAGGGGGCTTACACTACGTATGCTGGTGAAGATAATTATTGAGCAGTGAAGGAAATATTGTATGTGGATATACCGTATAATACCTAAAGGCTTATTACCATCAACAGAGATGCACGATGATTATATATTCATGTTCAATAATACACATACAATAATGCACAATTCATTCCCACATATTAATGCAAATGTGGTGAAATCAGGCGCTCATCAAAAACATGAAAGTCTATAAACTGGCATTTTTTCCGTAGGTTTGGGAATTTTTATCAATCTTTTTTTTTGGCTCAACACTTTTTGTGCCCAGCAAAGTACACATTTCTGTGTTGATTTTACAGAAAAAGGATGATAAAAGACGTAAACGATGTAAATTTTCAGTTCCACGGACTCTCAAGCCAATGGTATACCTTTTCTCGCTAGTTTTACCTCTGAAACCTGGTGCCACTTCCATTAATCACAAATATCTTGACTTGTATCCAAGATAAATGGATAATTTTTTTTCCCTCAAAAGCAAGGCAAATGGACAGACTTTAAGATGGTACCAAAAACTCCATCTTGCCAAAAAATTGACGAGCGTCTCATTCCACCAAGTTGTGATACATATTGTGTCTGTTGGTGTTTGTAACAGTGTGTTTGCTATGTGCACTTTGATCTTTGTTTGTGTAAGTTTTATTTGCTAGTATTTGTAGCCTGTGTGAAAGGGTTTGTGTGCACAGGCGTAAGTGTGTGTGTGTTTGTGGTTTGTGTGTGTGATGTGTGTGTGATGTGTGTGTGTATGTTAGAGAGATCAGAGCATGCACTGGTATATATATCTAGTAAGTATTACTGAGAGAGAGAGATGGAGAGATAGATAAAGAGAGATAGACAGAGAGAGACAGACAGACAGAGAAGAGAGAAACAGAGAGAGATAGAGATGAGAGAGAAAGAGAGATAGTAAGTGTTTTACAGCGCTCGCAACTGCTTAATATCATATGAGCGCACAGGACACATTAAAAATTTTCAGTCGGTAGGGAATTTTCAATTTTGTGTGGGTGGCAGTTGAAGCCTACTCTTATCAATTTTAGAACACCAAGGAATCTTTAACGTGCACCACTTGAACACGGGACCTCTGAGATTTTTCACCCCTTGTCTGAGAGAGCTAGGTGTAGATTTTTCCTACCAGAAGATCAGAGGTGTGGCTGAAAGACAGCAGTAAGGAGCCAAGGAGTAGCAGTAGAAAGGCTGCAGAAAGAGTCAGGAGCCAAGAGGAGGGGGCAAAGGAGGTGAGGGGATGGAGGCAGAAAGTAGAGACGAAATCAGATGACAGAACATTGCCAGACAGCAGGAAAGGAGGTGAAAGGAGACGATTTTAGAGCAGAAAGTTTTCCATCGCTACATGGTTTTGAACCTAGGACCTTTGAATGAGAGGCAAACACTTTAAAAGAGAGAGAGAGAGAGAGAGAGAGAGAGAGAGAGAGAGAGAGAGAGAGAGAGAGAGAGAGAGAGAGAGAGAGAGAGAGAGAGAGAGATCAAGGGAGGACTGTCAGACTATCAAAAAGAGAAAAATACTGGTATAGTATACTATATCATTACACAATTTCACTTAAAAGTCAATCAAGATCTTCATTATTAGTACTGCTCTTTTGGATTTCCATTCGTTGCATCTTTCATATTTCCTGATGCTATTTGAGTCTTACTATTTCTGTCTTGCTTTCTCCCAGGTGAACTGTGTGAGCTACTCCTCAGACTTTCAGTTCATGGTGACCGGCAGTGATGATCAACGAGTGAGAGTTTTCAATGTTAAGACCAAACAGTGCCTAATAAAGCTCAAAGGTCATGAAGGTAAAGCCCATCATTGTACTGATATAATGCCTGCATATTATCAGAACCAACATATTCAGAATTGAAATATAAGTATCACAGAAAGAGACTTTTTTTCAATCTCATATTTAAAAGACACGTCTTAACTTTAATAATAAAACGGCGGGTTATTTTTCTTTTATATACACAACCCATGTACACTGAAAACCTGGCTTTACCAAAGAAAATCTGGCACCACTGCAGACTTTGGTTAAAGCGGACTTCATGGCATATTTCTTTCTTTCTGTTTTCTGGCTCCTTTGCAATTCCATCCTAGAGAGGTTTGACTGCATATATCAAATGTGTTTCACATGAATTTAAATACGTTGCTTTGCTGCTTTTTTCAGTATCTACCTTTCTGTTTCACAGGAGCAATTAAAAGTGTGGCAGTCTCCCCATGTGACAAATACTTTGCCAGTGGCTCATTTGACAAGACAGCAAGAATTTGGCAGACAGCAAATGGAAACTGTTTACACCTTCTTGAAGGTTTGCATAATGGTTTCTTGGTAATTTTGGCATAAGAAATTCCTGCAATGCCAGTGCAGTTTTAATAAAAAAACTTCAAATTGATTCAGTGTTGTAAGGGTTTTGTTTTATCAATTTTTAATCAGATTTTGTAGTTGAAAATTTACTTTTTTTCTTCTACAGTTTTAGAGTACTGATAAAAAATTTTTAAATAATAAATTTTGCTTCTTTGGCTGCTTTTGATATAATAACCATTGTTGCTGCTGTTGTATTTCTACCAATCTATAAGTTTTTTCAAAATAAGTAGGCCCTATTATTATTCTAGTTCCATTTGATGGTAGTTATTGGTTCACTTTGCTGTTGCTTTTTTTGTGTGGAATATCTGTTTGAATTATTGGAAACAAGTTAGTCATGTGCTCAGAACATTATGATTGTAGCATTTTTAAAAGTACGAAAAAGAAACATAATTATGAAACAAAAATATGTGTTACGATAAACAATTTTTTTAGCGTTTAAAAGCACGGAAGGTTCTAACTCAAGTACTCTATCTCTCTGTTGTTTTCTGATATTGATAATAATTATATGATTAAAGAGGTACAATTAAGTGAAAACAATTGAAAAAGAAGGTACTGAACTTCATTTCAATGCCCTTTTGAATATGTTAGTCATCAACAACTGTCTTTGCGAGGAAATCTCTAAAATAATCGACGGAAGAAATTTACCCTTCTGTAGGATGTTCATCAATATTTATGTTAATTGTTTTCATGATACAAGCTTTTTGAATTAATAGCCTACTCTTGTTTTTATATTTTTATGATGCACAATCCAGTTTTTTTTATGTTGAATAAATACTCTTGTTTTTAAGTTAATGTATAATCCAGTAGAAAAAAAAATTGAATAAATTCTGTTGTTTTTAAGTTTATGAAAAAGTTGAATAGATAGGCATGTCCTTGTTTTTTAAGTTTATGTATGATCCAGTAAAAAATTGTTGAATGAATAGTCTTGTTTTTAAGTTTATTATGTATAATCCAGTTAAAAAATGTTAATAAATATTCTTGTTTTTAAGTTTATATATCTAATCCAGTTTTTTTAAAAATGTTGAATTAATAGGCCCTACTCTTGTTTTTAAGTTTATATTATATAATCTAGTAAAAATTGAATAACTACTTCTGTTTTTTTATTTTTATGTATAATCAAGTAAAAAGAGAAATTGAATGGTTATTCTTGTTTTTAAGTTTATGTCTAATCCAGTTTTTAAAAAGATATTGAATAAATAATCTTGTTTTTAAGTTTATATTATCCATACATACTTTTTTTACAGGTCACAAGAAGAGTGTTGAAGTTGTGACTTTTTCACCGCGATCAATTTATGTTTGCACTGGGTCGTGGGATAGAACTGCTATCATTTGGTCCGTGGATGTAAGTTTCGAAGATCATCATCATCATCATCATCATCATCATCATCATCATCATCATCATCATCAT